GGGGGGTCGGAGGGTCTTTTTTTTTTTTTTTTTTGACGTCGACCGGATCAAGCCATTCGCTCGCCTTGGGCCGACGGATCAATCTCCAAGTCTCCAAGCCTCCCATGGCTGCAAGTCTGCCGCCAATACCGGGTGCTGCCCGCTGCCGGTCTCTCCCCTACTTTTCCTCCCCTTCCCCCCGTCGGCGCCGAGTCATGTGATGGACGCTGCCCGAGTGCCAATTGACTGACCTCTGGTAGGCGCATGTGCTGGTTGGTGCTTGATCCCAGTGGACGGCTTGCAGCGGCTATTCCAGGGCGCCTGCAGTGCGCTAGAGCGGCTGTCAGCCCACTAACATCGAACCAGACCAGACCGTTCTAGACGCGCTCCCCGAAGCCCAAAGCTAAATCCACAGCACTTCGACATTGCTGACGTCTTTTCGTCGTCACTTCACTTCAACCTCCCGCCAATTCGCCCTACACAATCGAGTGGCACCATCGCCCGTCAGCGACTCCGGCAAGAGAACCAGTCAGCAAGTCGCCTCTTCTCGCCACTGCTTCCTTCTGGGCTCAATTGCGGCCGCTGCGTTGTTGCATGGTGGTGCGGCGCCTGGTGTCGGCGCTGGTGCCCAAAGCTGCCCGCAACTCTGCCGTATCTCCCACACGCGCGCACTCACACAGACATAGACACACACCGCTTCTGCCAGGCGGTTCGACAAGAGACCTCACCATGTCCTGTGTCCCGACGACCATATCACCATGGAGAACTTGTCGTTTCTTCCGCCACGGTTAACGTCGTCGGCGTCATCATGCTCATCGCTGAACGACATGTCCTTGAGAAATCGCAAGTTGCGCCTGCTCGTTGCTGCCGCGGGACCCCGCGACACATCATGGGCCCAGGCCCTTGTCGTTCGACTCTCCAAGAACCCCCATATTGAGATGCGCGCCATCGTTGACGACGTCGTCCCCCGGCTCACGCAGACCATCATTGTCCTTGAGAACCGAAGCCTGGCCGCGGGACAGTGCGGACGCGCCGACGACGTCGAATTCTTTCGCCAACAAGCCTTTGAACTGGTCGAGTGGGCAGATCTGCTAGTCTGTGTTCCTCTGGATGCAGATGGAATTGCCAAAATGCTGGCCGGCATTGCTGATACATTCCTCGGAGAAGTGTTCCGGGGGTGGAATATTCAGAAGAGCATCGTGCTCGTTCCGGGCATGAGCACACACATGTGGGCGAATCCAGCCACAAAACGACAACTCAGTAAAATACACAGAAAGTGGAACTGGATTCGGGTCATGACGCCCATCCTGTGGCACTACGAGGGGCAGATGAACCCCAAACGGGTCCCCAACTGGAATGGCTTCAATGAGGTGCTTGGAATCATTAAAAATCAGGCAGATTTACTAGGTCTCGGCCGAGATGTCGAAATCGCAACTAGCACCGCCGTGGTTCCCGACACCAACGACGTCCAGATTCGCTCGAAACTACCGCCTGAAATATGGACAATGGTTCTCGATCACGCAGGCGATTGGGAGCTCGCCAAAGCACTCGGCATGTACACCAACCTGCCCATGCCAACGGCATGGTCACTCGAACCGAAAGATCCCACCGACCCTCTCAAAGTCTACGAGCACGAACTCGAATGGACGGTCCTCACCGGAAACCCAGCTGTCATATGCAAGAAGCTGTCACAATCTCCGCCAAACTTCCAGGACGTGCCAGCCTTGGTCGTCAAACTCATCATCCGCTTCGCCCTCATCGACGTCCTGGCTTACATGGAAGCCAACCGTCCTGAGCTCTTCAGAGCCTTTGACGGCACCACTCTTCCCACCAATGCATCGGCCTACTACCCACGAACCGACGTCCTCGACTTTTGGAAACAGAGTAAGTGGTTTCGTGACGAACACATGTACGACGCAGAGGCCGTCGACGGGGCGTCTAAGAACGGCCACGTCCGCATTCTAGATTGGTGGTGGCGCCGCTCCGGTTTCCCGCTACGCTATACAGAAACAGCTCTCGAGCAAGCCAGCGGGCGCGGACACCTGCTTGTTCTCGAGTGGTGGCGCGATGCCGCGGCGCAAGATGAAGAGATTGTCCTCCGACCAGGCCGGTCTCTTCTCTGGGCCTCGCAATACGGGCAGGCAGACGTTCTTAAATGGTGGGACGCTTCAGGGATACCTGTTGCCCACGGCGATGGCGTTGCCAAAGTTGCATCACGTTGGGGCCAAGTCCAGGTCCTCGAGACGTGGCGCCGTCTCAAAGGCGACAACAAGCTCGTCTTTGATGCTGAAGTTTTGCTAAGCTCCACCATCCATCAGCATGTCGACGTGCTGGAGTGGTGGCGCAAGTTTGCGCACGGCGAGCTCGAAGGCATGGAGGGGAGGAAGCAGCCCGTCGAGTTCCGGACGTGTAATATCGAAGAGGCACTGGAGGATAGCATTGGCGATTCGGACCAGAATCCGGCAAGGAAATGGTGGGCACAGTACGGGTTGGATCTACGCATGAGAAACGAAGAGTGGCTGCAGACGAGATACTTGTAACGCGAGGACTAGCATACGCATTACCGGGAGGGATTTTTCATCGCACGTTGGGCGTTGTGTTTTTTTTTTTTTTTCATTCCTCTTTTTTCTATAGTTCTTTTGCCCGGGGACTTTGTATGCAAGGCGTAAGGGGCCAAAAGGTTCAAGATGTTTTGTTTTCCGGCAGCACACACATCGTACCACATGTTAGACATGCCAAGATATGAGCAGAGAATGAGAGAATGCATAAAAAAAAGGAAAATGAAAAGAAGAAGAAAGAAACAACTGATCATCTCGTACCAATGGCGTTTCAGGTCAAGTGTCAAGAGCCGGCATGAACGCAAAATCCCTGATAATTAAATGTCAGCCAAACAAATCGACGAGTGTATCGCAGTGGCGGCGCCCCTGTTGGCCATACTAGCCAGCAGGAACCTTTTGCGCCATCATATTATGGCTCGCTATTATTTTTCCGTACGGCGTCATGCCATTATCATTCCACCTGGCTATAACACCGTCTCAAAGACTCCGTCCTACTCGGTACGGGGTCCGGCGCGGGCATCCGGGACGTCCCGAATCCTGGTGAGTATGATTGCGCGTCACTCCATAAAGTTATTGCATCTTGGCGTGTTTCGTCGCGGGCAACCCCATCGAATTGCGCTGGCTAGCATCTATAGAAGAATTTAGAAACGAATAAAGAAAGGCCCGCCACACATACACGCTCATAGTACGCCAATGGTCTGGAAGTCCGTGCCGTCGTCATCTTACTTGGCGCGGCTGCAACCACGGGAAGCGAAGGAACGGCCTCCTTACCCTTTCCCGCCCAAGCTGTCGGGTCACCAGTGCGTCGGGTTAGGACGACCGGTTTTCTTTCGCTTTTTTTTTTGTCTCCTGACTGGCAGGGGGGCTTTGTGAGAATGAAACTCGCTTTTGGCCAGCCAAGGTTCTGAGCATCCCCCCCTTGTCCACATAAATATCATCCTAAGCTTCTTCGGACCTCGTCTGTTGTTTGCCCAGGACGCCACACAGGACCCCAGGGGACTGGCCGGGGTTTGTGATTGTTAGTTGGTGGAAACACGGCATTATCGACATGGCACCATGAGGTTGGGCCACGGGGACGAGCGTATTCACCACGGAGACAAACTCACGATGCGTATGAGATGTATTGTATCTATGTACTCCGCACTCCGGACGCCGTTTGGAAACCTGGACAGGCATAATCCAATCCACTAATCCAGGACAAAGGATTCAAAAGCTACCATGTATTGTAACAAGGTCAAGCATTGAGATTGAATACGCTCCACATACAAGGTTTTTTGGTCGGCAACCGACGCGCCGGCAAGCGGGAGGCCAGGCAGTCGCAAGATGGTGTTGTGGACGCTCCAAGGATTCGACTTGGGATGAATTTTGTTTCGTGGGCCAATTAATTTGCGCTTGTCTTATCCGTCTTGAGAAGAGACGATTTCCGTGCTGCTGATGTTCGCTTGTCGGCTGTCTGTGTGGCACCGAGACGCTCTTTGGTCTTAACCATGCTCTTCTAGAAATACGGAGCTTCCATGCAGGGACCGGGGGGGGCCTCGAGTCAGAACGTCGACTCCTCATTTCTTCATTGCTGAAACTCTAAAGAAAAGATCGTACCAGCTCACATTCGCTACCAGCCAAGTTGTAAGAGGGGTTCAGTATGGGGTCCAATGTCCTCCGTAATATGTACAGATCCTAAACTAGTCATCTGTAGGCAATTTCATTTCGGTAGTGGTGTGAATGCGCGCGGTGCGCTTGTGGTTGCAGCCATGGTTGGTGTGGCTTTCTTTCTGTCCGTCCGAATATATAGGGGGAGTCGTTGTTGAGCTACACCAAAGTCCAGGAACCCGGGAATTATCGCCAGGGCCGAGGGCTTCTCGTCCGTGCCGCCATCCATTCCGAGAGAAGAGCAGAATCTGCGTCGAGTGCCCGTTTCGGAGGCACACACAACACCACAGCGTGTACTCAGCATGACGTTATGGACGGCCTAGCCGTGCCCGCTCGTGATTCCGATGAGAGTCAGCAGCCCATTCAGCCTTGTGTTGGGCTGGACATGTCTGGGCCATGCTCTCGAACGCCAAAAAATAGTACCAATGCAAATCCTTCTGGAGCCAATCTGCCTCACTGCCGATGTTGTCGTACGAACAAACACAAACCCCTGGCTATACCAACGCAAAAAGTCTATCCGCCACGGTCTTGGTCATGGCGAGGAACTCGGACCCAAATATTAGCGGAGAATGGCCGTTGTCCAAAGGGCCTCTGGCGTGTCTGCTCAAGCTTGTCCGGTCCGTTGTGTTAAGCCACCGCCGCCACAAGGCAAACGCCTGGCGGTTCAAAGTTCGCGAGTCGTAGACGCTTTGACTTGCCCAGATATCTGATCCGACACTGTCTTCTCCAACGAGAATCGCCGCCGTTTTTGTACAATCAACTGGCAATCTAGTGTCGTTTAGCAGACCCTTGTCATACAATATGCAGGTGTCCTTTACCCAAGCGGAAGCGGGACTTGGCTGAGCAAACAATGCCCTGCTGCTCGCCCAGGTTCAATGGCCGTCTTTCCGAGCAGTGGGTTCAATCATGTAGTATTTCGGAGCAAGCAAGACTGAAAAGCCCGCTTAGGGGGCTTCAATCGCCATCGAGGTTGGCATTTCTGCTTCAACCCCCCTTGCTCTGAGCGCGCAGAATGGATCCCAAAGGGCCTCCTTGGCGTAGAAATGTAGAAACCATCTCCCAGTCAAGTTAGTGTAATAAGCGGCACAACGCCGCCATCTTTACTATCCAGACCAACAAGCCGGGAGGCTTGGACCAATCCATACCGAGCTGGGTGACCCCAGACGAGAGGGCAAGCCAGAGTCGACCCATTACTCCGTACAGCCCGCTGAAAATCTAATGGTTGCAAGCTTGAGTGGGAGGCAAGTTTCGACGGCGCGGTTCGACTGATAAAAAGGCGTGAGCCGTTCCCCAGAGTTCAGATAGATACACGTCAGTATAATAGGTGTAGGTGCGTCGCGCCCATACTGACGTCGTCTAATAATTCCTCTGAATCCTCTCGCACACTGTCGCTCGTCGAAAGTGTACCTCTTTTCCACCATCTATCTCTGTGTTTGTCCGGAGCGAGGTGCACCAAGATCAGCAACATCCCTAGTCGGAGTAATCACCGTCATCTGCTGGCCGACATCCTGGCACGCACGCCTCTCCTCCGGCATCCCCTTGCTCAGCGTCTGCAGTCGTGGATTGCTTCTAATTAGATGGTGGGGAGGCAGGCACATGCATCTTATTTGGCAGTGTCTGACCAGCGAAGCCCAGTCGTGACAGTTCTTGTCTCTTTCTTTGGAGAGTTCATCTCAGTTCCTTTTTTTTTTCCTGTTCAAAAACTGTCAATTGAATGCCTTCCGAGTAAAACGACCTCATGTCCAGAGACCTTATGACCTTCAAGACAGCAATCTTTGTATCTAGTTTCTGAGTTACGCCTCTATCACGCTAAGTGTTATCAGACTCACCAGATTTACCAGTGGACCAGTCTAATCTGCCAAAAAAAAAAAAAAAAAAAAAAAAAAAAAAAAAAAAAAAAAAAAAAAAAAAAAAAAAAAAAAAAAAAAAAAAAAAAGAAAGAAAGAAAGAAAGAAAGAAAGAAAGAAACGAAGTTATCGAATGAAGTCGTAACTTGACGAATGCGGTAGCTATTTGAAGGAGAACTCCGAAAGAGACACCCCTCTCGTCCTTTTTCACATGACCTCGTTCACCATCATCAGTTTGCGCGCGAGATAGCAAGTTTGGGAAGCTGCCTCACAGCTTCCCGCGAGGACGCGGTGGAAAGATGGCTAGGTTTCCGTTTTCTATCACCGGCCGCAAGAAGAAAAGTGTACCGCCTCCCCCATCTGGACCACGCATGAGCAAGGCGCACAAGATTTTGGGCTCTACACCACTGAACATCGATGCTCCAGGTAGCTGGGACGATGTGTCTTCTTTAACGACTAGTGACGGCAGGTCTACAACCACAGGTGCCAGTTATTCCGAGCCGGAGCTGCGAGGCCATGAGTACGAACACCAGGTTGCCATTGCCAAGTCGGATGAGGACTGGGGGGAGGAATCAGACATCATTCCTCGCCCATTGAAACTCGATGCTATGAGTTTTAGAAACCCCACTGAAAGTGTTCAAACAGTTACAACCGGAGCATTGAGAAAGAGCCGATCATCCTCCACGATCCGATCATGGTATGATAAGTCGAAGTTGCCACTATCAATTTCTCAACAAACGTCCTCATCTGCCATTGCGAAGGGGTTGCCGCCTAATTTTCAGCCAGAACTCAACCCAGCCGGCGTGGAGGAAGGATTCAGGTCCAAGAAGAAGCCTGCAAAGTTGGTTTTTTCTCGCACTCGGAAGGGAAGCGATTCAAGATGCAAAGACTCGGCTGCAGAGTCAGGCCTCGATCGCATGTTGCGTTCGCCATCCATCATATCCTCCTTCTCCGTCTTGTCAACAAGGTCTCGTGAGTCACGAAGATTTCGAAAGAAACATATCAAGGAGGATCCTCCCTCTCCAATTCCCGAAACCCCCCGGCCAGTAACCAGTGGCAGCAACCGACTTGGTCCCGGTAATACTCGAGAGCTGCCTTCGCTCTATAGCCACTATGAGCAGATGTCCCTGAGAAACGTCATGAGACAAAAGTCTACTCCTAGCTTAACCATGACTGAAAATGGAGTCTTGACTCTCCAAAACGTGACTGAAGTGCCTTACCACGGTCACGAGGAAGAAGTAGCCGTCCATCAGCGACAAAAACCGGTGTCTCAAAAACCCAAACTGACCATCTTCCCCAAGGCCGATTTGCATTCATCATCGCCTGAAAGGAGTATCTCAAGCTGCCATACAAAAACGTCGAAGGCATCGAAAAGTCTGGACAGATCCCTGGAGGGCGCTGACTTGCTACAAACCAGTGTGTTGATTCTATCTTCGGATTCTGAAGATGACGATGTCGAACCGCTACCAACAGTCGTCCGACCTTCAGCGCTAGCGCCCTTGAGAAAGCCGTCAAAGTTGGAAGCAAGAGCACCACCGCTCAAAGAATGCCGGCCCAAGATGGTCAGTGACCCGAAACCTAGCGAGGAGCGGCCTAGTCAGTCTACCAAACCAGACAAGAGAACAATCGTTCCAGAATCGAATACATACGTTGCGAGTCCAAAGCCAGAAAACCGTCTTCGGGCTCCTACTGCAATGGTTTCGAGGTCTGGAACTCCTTTCGGAAGCTTCTCTCCCGCAGTCTCTTCCCCCAGAACTTCAGTTATGTCATACTCTTCGGTAAATTCAGGAATGACTTGCCAAGGAAAACCGGGATATGGAATACAGGAAGCCCGTGCCATGACCGTGTTGCCAGCTTGGCGGTCTTCCGGCGCGGAGCTTGGAGAAAAGCAGGATGAAGCTTCAATTACAACCAGCAGAGTGTCCAGGCAACCTACACTCAATCAAGCCTCGCCAACAGATCAACTAACACCACCATTAAGTCCAACGTCCGTTGACTTTTATATTGGCTCTGCGCACTCGTCCACCGAAGGCCCCGGAAGCCACAGTCGACTAATAGCCGTCACCCATCAGGAGGAAGTGCTTCTCTCTGCATTGCGGCACAAGCAGCAGGCCATCCGCAGGGCGTCTATGTCCCAAGTGTCGGAAGAGAGTGAAGATGAAAGTGTCGCAGGTATTCAAGGCCAGCCTGAGAATTGCCATCGTGAGCAGCAGGGTATGGAATCTGACATGTCGAGTGACGATTCACAAACTCTGGCTAAGAAAGGCCGTCGGAAGGAACATCGGCCAAAGGAGTCGCAGACAACCATCACTGGTTCGACATTTGAATTCGGATTCCCAGCTCCACCGTCTTTCAAAAACGACACCAATACACACAATGAGCAGAGTTCCAGACGTCTCAAGTCCTCTGGCGTTCTCCCTCCTGTTCAAATAGAGGGCATAGTCCTTCGCAGCGATTCCATTCCTACAAGCCCTGTCGGTCCTCCTCCATCGCTTGCGTTGCCGAAACTTCCAAAACACGCAAGGAACTCCAAGTCTTTGCCGAGCCGCGACAATGACAGCACTCAAAGTCAACGAGATGTGACTCTATATTTTGATGATTCTGAACCAAGCCCAGATTTGTCAGATATCCAAGGCTGGGAATCGGCAACCCCCCCAACCACAAATGGCGTATCTCCTGATGCCTCGCCAGCTCTGTCTTGGCCTGAACATAAAGGAGGCCAAGAAAGTGGCAAGCAAGTGCTCCCTTCATCTAAATTAGAATCACAGTCGTTCCTGTACTGCGACGGTTTCTCTAGACTAAACGTCAGAACTCAAGTACCCAACCAAGAAAGGAAGGCAACTCTCAGTGAAGACAAAGATATTCCCCGCCCTGACAGCCCTATTTCCCCTGAGGCATTCCCAGCTGTTCCCACGAGAAGAGTAACGTTGGGCAACATGGCGCGCTTAAGCGCAGTTGGGCCTAGTCCTTTCAGAAATGCTGGAGCACCAGGATGGCGGGGAGATGATGATTAACTCAGCCATGACGACTGTAATGATGGATACACACTTACCGATCCGGTATCAACATTTCTTCAATCAAATGTAATTCTTTCACCCCCTTTTCTCTTTTTTTTTCTCTAGGACAACGAGTGCCGAGGCGATGTGCCGGCATGAATCTTGGAGCACATATGTATTAGCCTCGAATATTTGACATCTTCCACCTTATCCAGGTGCAATCTTCTTTGCCCGGCATATGACATGGTATGGTGACGGCGACAATGATAGAAAATATGAATACAGCGACTCAATTTTTCCCCCTTCCTTTGACTTGATCATGATGAAGGATGGAATGTATATTCCCACACCGGTACCGGCCTTGGGAATTCAAGGCCAGAGTAATTGCTATCCAATAACTTTTCTTCTGGAGAAGGCCGTAACCAGCAGGCTGGAAAGAAGTATAAAAACCGGCCAGACATAATACAATCAATCAATTCACGTGAAAGACGACATGTATGAAAAATGAGAAATGCTTGTTCTTTGGCTAGTAATTCGTACGTTTGTAATTTTGATCATGTCCATTGCTTGCCATGTAATTGGTGGGATGCTGCTTATCTACTCCTGCCGTCTAAAATATCCATCAACACTTCACGAAGTTTATCTTGTGTAGCTCATGAGTAGGTCGAGCCCTCGGGGGGCTGAGGAGTTTTTTTATTCATCGGGGCCGCCATATATCTGGGCAGTGTCAGCGAGATCCCTATTTAATAATCCACACCGGCCAGGGCGGGAATATTTTACCTTCTCAACTCGATAAGGACTGTCTCCATGGTGTTTTCTCGTTTCCACTGGGCGAGGCAAGGGAGCTGGTTGGGATCGACCATGCCGTTGCGTGGATTAACACAAGGCAAATTAATCTGGCTAACAAACTGGATAGTAGGAGGTACATCAGGGTACTTGTCGCCACAGTGCATTTTGACGCTGTAGATGCGATTCTCGTGAACAGACTGTTACATGCGGCGAATGATAGTCAGAAAATGGCTCAGTAGCAGCAATTTGCAAGGTGCAAGAATAGAATGACGTGTTTCGTTTGCTTCACCGTTTGCTAGCAATCCCCTTTGTTCTCGGTACGAACGAAGGAGCTTGCATCTTTGCGGCGTATGCGGAATTCGAGCTCGGCAATCACTCACATGAGGAGGCCCCAAAATGGTCCCATTCCAGTTGCTCATGAGCAAATCCTCGCTGTCCTCGAGGCCATAACTACAGGCTTCAGCACCAAGGCCTTTCTCGCCCTTTTCGAGCTCCTCTAGCAAGCGGAAGTTTCGCGGAACCTTGGCGGTCATGTTGGTGAGACAGGAGCGTCGTCCTCCGACGATGCAGGTAGGCTTGAGAGTGAGGTGCCGAGGCGGAGAGTATTGCACAGCGGGCAGGGTATTCTAACAGGTTGACTGCCGGTTTGGACAGATGGAGTATCGGCTTGGATCAGGACCTGAGTCTTCTTAGTCGAGTGTAGTGCAATGTTCTGCGTGGTCTGGTGCCGGTAGATGGACAGAGGGCTGTGAACGCGGGGCGACTTCTAGTTTCAACCTCCTCAATGTTCGTCACAGCCCACCACAGTTTGTCATGGCTCGAGCTCACTGCGCCTTGCGCGTGCTCCTGCCTCCAAGCCGCGGGAATCTTGTAGCCACCACGCCGCTCCTTCCCCGGCCTGTGGCTTAATATTGGCAGCCTCCGCCCCGCGCCTGCTCTGACTAATCCGCAAACCCATCGTGGCCTCGGTTACGTCGGCCCCGTTGATGCCAACCTGGGTACATAGTCAGGACGGGTAAATGTCGGCCCGCGTACCTTCCAGCTCAAAGTGCGTTTCCGGTTACATCGTGGCAAGCTGCCTCGTTTTCTCTAGTCGACGTTCCGACAAACCATAGCCAGAGCCGTCACCGTCCGATTTCGAATTTCTCGACCACGCCAACAGAGCTCGGCTCATGAGCGGCGTCGTCTGCATTGAGCGGCTGTGACGTACGCGAAAAGCCCATCATGCTGAGCCTGTATCTGACAAGAGCTGCTCTCCGGAGCCCATTGCTCTCCCAGCAATCTCGCCTTTTTACCTCATCTACCCGCACCCTCCTCCCGGCCAGCTTCGCCGGACCATTACCTTCATATTTTCAAAAACCCCGACTTCCGGCAAATACAATTGTTCGCTTTGTTCCTCAACAGACGGCATGGATTGTCGAGCGCATGGGTAAATTCAACCGCATCCTTGAACCAGGTTTAGCCGTCTTAATACCGTTTATTGATCGCATTGCCTATGTCAAGAGCCTCAAGGAAGCTGCTATTGAGATTCCTAGCCAGAGTGCTATTACTGCCGACAATGTGACTCTTGAACTCGATGGTGTACTCTATACCCGGGTGTTCGATGCTTATAAAGCCAGGTAAGCTCGTCCTTCACCGCCAGCCGGCCTTGCGCAAGGCAGCGTATGACCAATTGCTGTTCTTTGAGGCTGTCAAACACGGCAAAGAGTAAAGCGCATACTGACATGAGCTTCTCTTTCATAGCTATGGCGTGGAAGATGCGGAATATGCCATCTCCCAACTTGCCCAGACGACTATGCGGTCCGAGATCGGTCAGCTTACTCTTGACCACGTCCTCAAGGAACGTGCAGCCCTCAACACCAACATCACTGCTGCTATCAACGACGCCGCCGAGGCATGGGGTCTTACGTGTTTAAGATACGAAATTCGAGATATCCACGCCCCTGGCCCCGTTGTCGAGGCCATGCACCGACAGGTCACAGCTGAGCGATCCAAGCGAGCGGAAATTCTCGACTCCGAGGGCCAGCGACAGAGTGCCATCAACATTGCCGAGGGTAAGAAGCAGAGTGTCATTCTTGCCTCCGAAGCTTTACGTGCCGAGCGCATCAATGAGGCGGATGGTGAGGCAGAGGCAATCCTCCTTAAGGCTCGCGCCACAGCCGAAGGTATCAATGCCGTCTCCAAGGCCATTCTCGAGGGCCGGGAAGGCGCCAAGGGTGCCATCAGCTTGACTGTGGCTGAGAAGTACGTAGAGGCCTTTGGCAACCTGGCCAAAGAGGGTACTGCTGTTGTGGTCCCTGGCAATGTTGGTGATATTGGTGGCATGATCGCTACTGGGCTGAGCGTGTATGGAAAAGTTGGCGAAGCCCAAGCAAAGTCCATGGCCAAGACTGCCATCGATACCTCTGCTTCAACAGAGCGCGGCGACAAGAAGGAAATCGAACAGCCTAGATCAGAAGAAGAGGCTGCGGCCATAAGAAAGGATGCGTTGAAGGAGAGCATGCTGGATGGCTTCGATCAAACAACTGCCAGAAAATGATTGCACAATTTTCATCGACAGATATAGCCATCTAGCACATCGTTCTTCACGTGCTATTTGCAACAAACATACACACGCTACTCATCCAGGACACTGGAGCCAAAGGCACTTAAAACGGGAACAGAAAATGGTGTATCTCGTCAACTATACTGTAAAGTAAGCGGGGAAACTAAGAAAATGGGTTCTTATGTGGTTTCGACATTTTTGACCGTGCCAGCTGGACACGATTAGGACCAAACCGGGGGTTTTAGAGCCTCACGTCGCAAAACGGAGCGGATGGGTGGCGTATTCACTGTACTCATAGGCGGGAAGTGATGTCCCCTTTTGAAATATACAAACTGTCATATTTGCATGTCGCAGTGCCACGAAGTGTTGACACTGACTGATAAATCCAATAGGTCACTCTTGTCATGGTAAAGACACCACGAGGTCCTACGGCAAACACCATGACCACCGAGCCCAAACGTCTTGTTAAGTCTCAAAAGCTGTTTGATTACCCAGCACGTCCATGCCATTGTATGCAGATACATGGTGGTGCCATTCACGCCGATGTAGACAAGTGTAAATCGTGACTGACCCATAGATCACGAAGAAATCTAATAGTGAGCAGTATTATGGGGAATTATATTAATTACCAGTACATCCGCCTTCCATATGTTTATGCGTCTGTCCATAAATCTTTCACGTGTCTCCTGTCAGTCCTAAATTAACACTGCGGAGGCGTCCTTTCTTATTTTCTCGTCAACACGTCTTCTGTTGGCCTTACAGTTCCATTGCGCAATTTTTGTTTCCCTGACATTCGTAAAAGGCTAGACACGTAAAGTAATAAACTAACTTTCGACAGGATGAACTTTTTGCTCATGTGGGCTGGACTGTAGTCTCGATTGCTACGAAGCGAGCAAGATATAGAGATATCAGCCCGTTTCTCAGCTGCTCGGTCCATTTATAAGAGAGCAAGGACAGCGACTAGGAGACCCAGCAGGATGCCGGGCCTGTTGATAGCACCAACGCCCGTGGGAGGAGGAGGAGGGCTCTTTTTGTCGTCGGTCGGGGAAGCACCGCTGGCAGTCGTGGTACTGTCACCAGAGCCAGATGTAGGTCCTGAAGCAGAACCGGACCCAGAGTCAGAAGCAGACCCTGAAGCAGATCCTGAAGCAGAGCCAGAGCCAGAGCCGCTGCCACTGTCGGCGGTGTTGGTACTTGGGGAGAGAGAATACGTGTTGGTAGCACCGCTGCCCTGGGTCGTCGTAACTCCGCCGAGGATGTCAGAGGTCGTGGCACCAGAGCCAGAGCCCGAGCCAGACCCAGGTCTTTGAGGCCCGTTGCACTTGGTGGTGCCGACACAGCTAGTTCCGGCAAGGCAGAACACGCCGGTGGTCTGGGAACAGCATTGAGAGCCTTTGGGGACGCAGACCTTGCCACACTGGACACGGCCTGCTTCACAGCCAACAGGTGGACCAGAGCAGGTTTTTCCAAGGGGGCAGCATCCCTCTGGCTCGCAGCGATATCCGACCCTACAGTAGGTGCCCTCTGACTGCGAGCAGCAAGCAGCACCGATGGTGATACAGCTGTTACCGCAAGCAGTACCGACGTCACACGCACCAGAAGCTCGGAGAGAAAGGGCTCTGAGATCACCAATAGGTGAAGTCGTGGATTCGAAGCGAACCATGTCGGCAGCGACGAGCCCAACCAGAGAGAAAAGAACAGCCGAGGCGAGCATCATGTCGGTTGGATACAACAAAAGAAGAGAATCAAATGCGGAAACCAAATGAGGATCAAAATATAGAGAATCTGTGTTTCCGGAACAAAATAATCAACGTCAAGTTGAATGTGCTGGTCAAAGGAGAAGGTGAGCAGCGAACAAAGACCATCCCATCTTATTAAGCCATCGGACCATCGTGGAAGTAGGCTTCTTAGCCACAAGAAAGTGAGCCTCACCCTAAAATTTTTGACATGCCAGGGTCCTGCAATAACTGTCTGCTTGGTCCGTGACTGATTCTCTCGAAGCATTGTGCTCACCAGTGCTGGGGATAGGACACCCTGACCTACAACAAGTCCAATTAGCAAAGCGAAGCTCTTCTCAGCCCAACTGACCTAGCCAGGATCTTGCAGGTTATCTACGCCACAAACCGAGTCTCGAATGGATCAAAGGGCTAAAGGCTTGCTCCACTGCTTTGTCCGGGCAATAATCTGCAAAGATTACATTATGAATGGCCGCCACAAGCTGAGGACCACCCTTGCTCAAGCAATTGGCTGTTAACAGGGAGATATGCAGGAACAAATTGCGGCTGACGTCTGGTCGTGCTCTGTCAAGAAAAGTCTCGAGGAAATGATAGACAGGAGCGTGCCTGAAGTTCAACAGCATCGGGAAGACAATGATAACTGCAAACTGTGCGCCATATTTGTGCAATTCTCTCTCTCTTTTTTCTTCTAAAACCAGTTGATAATATCGGACGATTAGTATTATTCATCTACTGGTATCCGCAAAATGCAGTTTGTGTAAGTGCGTTGCAATTCTAAACCGCGTTTGCCATCTTATGTCTGAGTGGAGATTGTGAGCGGCTGCTGATTCCTAAATTTAGACTCACTGCAAAGATCATCATGGTCTTGACCAGTCAGCAGGTGAAAGTAGAGACAGAGATGTAAGTTCTCTTACTTTGTCTGCCAGGGAATCCAGGCTATCCAAAAGGCCGTGTTTGAGTAAAATTGTATCAGCCTTCGCCTTCAGGAATCAAGGCCTTGTCTGTGTTGACGTAATTCACCCTTCGAGCTTGTGGCTTGGTTTTCGTCAAAACATTTATGCTTAGTCTTGCTGGAAGACCAATTATCACATAGGAAACTCTGATTGCCATGGAATTTCACAAGGCATCGCCTAAATCAGAATGTATAACTCAACATGAGAATGTGCAACACCTCAAGTACCAATGGCTAGGACAGTTAATTTAGCGCAAGGCTTTCTTCCTGAGGCAAGTTGTCTCACCCCATCCGTCGTATTTTTCAGTTTCTTCAGCTCACTTACAAAATGACAATCGCCATCTCAGGATCACAGGGCGCTATATAATCTGCTGTCAACACGTCATCACATGAACAGGCTCATTAGTCCGTTTGATGCTGGACACTTTTGAGTTAATTTTGTATGTGGATCTTTATTGAATTCGTCATACACGTCGGCGTATACACATGCATTTTGTACAATTCATGTCTTGATGCACCGAAAGCGGTTGACGACGTTTGCTTGTATCGGTAGAAGGTTGATCTCTTCACGATCTCGTCAACGCTTGCTGCAAATCGTATGTCTGAAAAAAATAAATACCCGGCGTCCTTTGACATTAGGAAATCTGATGAAACGAGTGAACCACTGTGCCGACTATCTCCTCGCAGGCCAACCTGAGTCCGATCTTCTCGCCATGCTTAAGCTCCAAGCCCAGAATCAGTTCTTTGTGTTCCGCAAGTTTATTCACACTCCCGCGCCAAAACCAAACAAGTCTCCCGTCGGCCCCTTCCAACACTAAGGTAACCCAGGGGTTGTTTTTATTCCAGAGTGGTACCTGGTCATTCTCGTACGCCAGCACAACACGACAAACCCAAAGCGGAGATTGTGACATCTCGGGTTGGTCATGCTGATAGTCAACGAGGGGACGTCTGTTAACTAATGCATGATCTTTGATGATGTCGAACTGGCAAGACAGCTTGGGGAACCTAGCAAGCTGTTGCAACAAGTTGTGGCCGTATGGTGGGTTGCGGCTCATCAGCCTTTCAATGTTGCAGAAATCGAGCTCTGCCAATTGGTGAATACTCTTGATACCACTTCGGAATAATTTCTCCATTTTAACAGAGCCAATACCATCAACTAAAAGCAGTTCTTGGCCAGCCCCTTCCCACACACCAGACTTGATACTCCTCAAAACGTCCAAGACCACATTTACGCCCCTGCCGTCCCGTCTTAGTCCTATAATGTCGGTGAGGCATCGTAGGGTGCGGTCTAGAAGCGCATAGATCCGGCCTCTCTCTTGATAAAGCTCTTTTCTCGCAGCCCCGGATATCTTGTTGGGCCATCCAATGCGGAGAAGGTCTATCTGAACTAAGAGGAAGACCTTGTGCCATGGTTGAGTGATTGCTTCTTTGATGGTATATGGGATCGCCGTGTGATCGTTGATTTCGCGAAAGAGATTTTTTTCGGCTTGTTTTAGGGGAAAGGAGCGAAATTCGCTTGCGAGGCATGACTTATAGAGGACTTCCCGTCGATCCGGAGCTTGTGAGATGCTGCATAGAGCTTTCATAGTGACGGAAGAAAGCTTATATCTTAACTGTACTTCATGAATGCTGGACTCCATGCCTTCGGTACTAGAATGAACTGGTTCTGGAGCCCCGACGGATTGTATACTAGGGCGAGGCTCAGGAGTACGTTTCTTGTGACGATTCATTTGGGCGTGCGTCGATGAACTGGCATAGGTTTCGGCGCCAGGGTTCACAAATGCGCTCTTCGCCTGATGCTGTTCTTTGACACTCCTCTGTGCTGGAGTTTCAATGTGAGGCGCCTGACAGTTTGAGTTATGGTGATAATAATTACTGTTTGATGGCAAGTGACATGGCAGCATTAGCACAAGGCAGGCGCGAACCCCAGGGCAGGAGCGGCCCGCAAGATCAGGCAACAAGGAACAATATCGGTACTCAGTACAATCTAGAGCAGATTGTGTGATAATAATTTAACATGCACCCAGACACCACCATCCTACGATGCCTCTTTCTCGTCAAGTTCGACTTTCCTGGGGAACAACTACTGATTTGATGTCATTGTTGTAGCTGCTAGCGAGGGCTTACGGGATGTTGACTTGAAAGGGTTTATTTGAGCCGTAATTTTTTAGCTGCTACATCTACCCTTCATCTCAACGTTCCGAGGGAGCAAAGATGGAAAGCAATAGCTGTAGTGAGAACTTTCATATTCCGTATCGAGACTCAAGATACTCGAAAATGTTGGCGAACACTTGGCGATAAGCATGTTGCTAGAGGCAAGTAGATGTCAAATTCACAAATTGAAGCCCTACTATCTGCTACAACAGCTTTTCCAAATGCTCTTTGCGATCATACTAGCTTGAAGAAGGAAAGTGAATTGGGAAGTCTTGAATGCGAGGCCGAGAATCCGCTTCTTATTGGAGCAATCTGGACATGTAACTTGCCTAGCAAACCTTATAATACGTTTTCAGAAACCGCTCTGTTCTTCGCTGACTGACGAGTCCCATATTTCGGACCTAATACTGCAGGTGCATCAAAATGAGGTCGAAGTCAACTTGTCTCAATTGACTGTCTCTTCAGTGAAGCTGTCATGCCTAGCGATGCTAGAGAGCGATCTTGCACAATAGGCACCCACAAATAGCTTCTATTGTTCACGGCGCCGCCCTGAAGTTGTATACTGGCTTCAGTTGAGGCGTTTTCGGAAAGCCAGACGCCACGGAATCGGCCCGCGCCTTCAACAAACTTCAGTCTTGTACAATCTAGGCAAATCCTCAGACTACTATAATAAATAGCAGCCGCACTTTCTTTAAACACCCCAGCTAACCGCAGGCTATGCGTGGAGTTAGATCCCAGAGAGGTATCGGGTGGTAGCTGAGAAAAGCTTGTTCTGTACTGTTACGCTCCTGGCGTTGAATGTAATCGGCGTCTCGTCTGCAAATCGTTACATACACCATCTTGTAGCGTATCGTTGCACTCGCATCGCCTAGACTCCTCAACAATACAATTTCAGAGGCGAACAAATGTGATCTGTTGTTGTCCAAGGACGTTTGTTTGCCACTGTGGTGTAACGAGAAGTAACTTTCCGAAGACCGAAAGCGAGAGAGCAAGGTGTACTGTGGTGACTCAGACAGTGATGTCTCGTAGTCTTGTTCTAACTGTTCAGTCGTCGGGTAGCTTTGTAAAGAAGGGAAATAGAAAGAGCCATGCCTGTGGTTAACCTACAAGATGGAACCAAAGCGATGGAACATAACACCTGTGTATGGCAAATGAAAAGCTCGGCTGGTCTAGCAGACCGAGGCATTCAGGTGAAAATTGAGGCTAGGAAAGTCACGGCAAAGGCAACTGTCCAAACTGTTCTTGCTCATTCCGCCGGTTGGCAACAGTTGGCACGAAATATATTAGGCAAGAGCAGGAGGCAGTGACACGGCGTCAAAAAGAAAATCCATCACACACCCATACACCAAGTTCTTTACTCATTCAACTTTGTATATGATTTCAAGGGTCTCGGAACTGTCCTAATACTCTTTATACCTGCCTGTGTTTACTTGGTCCACACTCTTGCGGGAGACTTGTCAGGTCATCATCATGTCTTGCAACTGCTTCATTGTGCCGCCTCACCTACTCAAGGCAATTGCAGATTCGACTCACAATTCAGAGGAGATCCGCAAGTCTGCCCAGAAAGGGCTGGATTTCCATGAGAAGCTAATTGATGCTCGCAAAGAGCGTTTGTCTTCTCTAAGCCAGCCTCGGGGTGCTCGTGGTGAGGTTCTTGCTCTTCGTCCCGCACCTTTTATCCCAGAAACGCTGCTACATCAGCTATCTCTTTCTGAAGATGTTGACGAGGCCGTCCGCGAACGTGCTAAAAGAGACTTGGAGCATTTCCAGTCGCTAATGGCACCCAAAGGTTTAGGGCTTCACTAGAAGTTTCTGCTTCTTGGTTAGAGAATGCTAACTGTGAATGGAATCACAGCCGAACCCCAAGAAGAACCGCAATCCATGGTGAAGCCAAAGAAGGGTCCGAAAGATGCACCATATCGAGCTGTCTACGACGCTGAGCACACGACCAACCCAGAAGAGCTGCCTGGGGAGCTGAAGAGGGCCGAGGGCCAGCCCAAGACAAACGATAAGGCTGTCAATGAAGCTTATGACAATGTCGGTGCCGTTTTGGATTTCTACAGGAAGAAGTTTCAGTGGAAATCGATCGACAACAAGAATTGTGATGTCATCTCGTCAGTTCATTTTGGCGAGAGCTACGAGAATGCCTGTTGGTTGATTCCCCGTCTTCATTGCCCTTCTGCGTATGAACTAATGTGAAATGGCAGTCTGGGACCCGGAACAGATGATGATGGTTTTCGGTGATGGTGGAGAGTTTTTGAGCAACTTCACAAACTGCATCGATGTTATCGGGCATGAGTTGACCCATGCTGTCACAGAGCACACTAGCCCTCTCGACTATGTAGACCAGCCAGGCGCCTTGAATGAACACGTCTCTGACGTCTTTGGCATCATGATCAAACAAAAGAAGGAGGATGAGACTGCTGAAAAGGCCGACTGGTTGATCGGTGAAGGCTGTCTCCTGCCTGATGTTAAAGGATTGGCCCTCCGCAGCATGAAAGCCCCAGGAAGTGCATACGACGATCCCCGATTCGTAAGTGTACTCTATTATATCCTCATTTTTTTTTAATATCGCCTAACCATTTTCGAAAGGGAAAGGATCCTCAAGTCGATAATATGAAAGACTACAAAAAGACGTACGAGGACAAAGGAGGAGTTCACATCTTCTCCGGCATTCCGAATAAGGCCTTCTATCTTGCATCCGTTGCTTTTGGAGGTTACTCGTGGGAGAAGGCAGGGCAGATTTGGTGGAAGGCACTGAACAGTGGGAAGATTCCGGCTCGATGCAGCTTTACACAATTTGCCGATGTTACTGTGGATTGTGCTGAAGAAGAATTTGGCAAAGATGCTGCCGAAATTATCCGCAAGGCATGGACTGATGTTGGTGTCACTCGCGATATCTAGGAGAGTGACAACTGGTGCAGTCCGTGGTGAAGTTGAAAAGCATATCTACATTGCTCAGTTGATGTATGCTAGCAAGACTCTTGTTACCTAAGTACCTAAATGCAAGGAAATATCGTTTGTGTATTGAGCCGAGTTCCTTACAAGGTGTGACGGAGGCCCGATCTCTGTAACTTGGCGAGGAGAGGGTGAATCCCGATGTAAGAAACATGGTAGCGTCGCGATTCGCTTTAAAGCTAGTGACGACCGACGCAGGCTCGCAAATATTTTTGTTCATAGTCAACGGAAATGCTACCCTAGGAAAATGATACCTCACAGTAGGGGAGCGAATATACATTGGCAGACCAGATATCTGACTATAACACGCCATACCATAATATACTGTAGAATACTGCTGTATATCAGTTTGTGGTTTCTCAAAGACTAGACTATGAGTTCTGTAAAAGAACACCGACCGACATATATGTTGCAATACGATCTACATCTGCAGGAGGTCCTCCACTTTTGGCAGAATTCATAACAAATTCTAGCACCATCGCCGCCATGAGTTTCAACCCCAGCAAACTTTATTTTTAACATTTTTGACGTTCGACTAGTATTGCCGTGGCAACGTTTCCACCAACGTCAACACTTTTTTTTTTTTTTGGAATGCGTTTTCGTAAGCTGAAAGTTTGGTAAATCCATGAGGACTCTCCGCCCGGCCGCCAGCATACATTTAGGCGTACGGTGCCGTTCCAAGTGTTTTGAATGGCAATATCGCTCGTCATTATCGCCGGGATATCGATGGCAACAATCTCGCTATTCAGTCCGTACTTTTCGCAGCCTGCATGGGCCCCCCACCTCGGTAGAACCCGAGCAGCTGTAGATCAATCTCACTCATCCCGTCTCCTCCGTACGGAGTACCTGGGTAGCCTCTCAGTATCCTTTCTGCGTACGGAGATGACATGGTGGCGCAGTGGCACCTTTCCCCCCACCGTCACCCCTTTTTTTTTTTTTTGGAATGCGTTTTCGTAAGCTGAAAGTTTGGTAAATCCATGAGGACTCTCCGCCCGGCCGCCAGCATACATTTAGGCGTACGGTGCCGTTCCAAGTGTTTTGAATGGCAATATCGCTCGTCATTATCGCCGGGATATCGATGGCAACAATCTCGCTATTCAGTCCGTACTTTTCGCAGCCTGCATGGGCCCCCCACCTCGGTAGAACCCGAGCAGCTGTAGATCAATCTCACTCATCCCGTCTCCTCCGTACGGAGTACCTGGGTAGCCTCTCAGTATCCTTTCTGCGTACGGAGATGACATGGTGGCGCAGTCGTTCACGGGGGCAGCAGGCCCGGGTACTGCACGTTTGCTACTTGACCCGTCTTGCCCGTCCCCAACACGTGCATTCCATTGAAGCGGAAATCGTACGTTCACCTTTGGCTACCCAGACGGTGGGTTTCACGAAAAAGAAAAAGAAGAAAAAGTTGCGTCCTTCTTAAACGAGCCCAGCCCACAATGCCCAGCCAACATCGTGCCGGAGCAAAGAATGTGCCACCCAACAACGGCGTGCCAGTGAAATTACATGCACGGCAAAAAAACGCCTGATCGGTACAAATAGTACAAATACAAGCCAGGCGTCAACTGGTCAACTGTGCTGTCTGGTACCTGCATCTGGCCCACTGCGCATCCTCCTCACGGGGCATTCTGGTACCCTTGCTGGAGTCATTCGGTCCGCATAGAACAGGGGCGTGTGTACTCGGTAGCAGCGGAGGAGGGGAAAAGCAGGAGAAAAAGCAGGGGGTTTGCGAGACAATGCATGCAGAGTGGATTCTTGGGCCCAATTTCCTTTCGGGGGCATGACCGACATTGTTGTTGGTCGGAGATGCGTCTTGGTTGGCTGTCATGTTGTCCTTGGTCGTGTCCCTGAAACAATTGTTCAATGCGCTCGAGTTTAATGAGAGGAAACATTGACTCGTAAAAAGAGACGTCGACATGAAAAGAATAAAGACGCTTTATTTGGTGTACACGTGTAAAAACGACACATGATAATCTAAAGCTATCTACCAAGTGCAAAATCAAAATGGGCCTTCCAATCCGGCTTGGTATCCGTGTAATCAAAGCAACACCCACAAACACACCTCATCTTCCTGTGTCGTCGCATCAGCTGCATCCGCCGCCTCGTTAAAGACACCCTACCCATTACATCTATCTGTTCGGCTAGGCAGCCGAATTAAAAATCCGCAGAAAGCTCAGAGAAATTCTCGCCGAAAGGGAACTTCCACATCAAAACCAAAAACCAGCGTTAAGTCTTCATAGCCAAGAGCCAAGTTGTGTGCCAGAAATGGTCTCTTTGTAAATAAATAAGAAAATTCGAGTCGAATTGTAAACATATGATGGTCTGCTCTCCGTGTACAGAGCGGTATATCCACTGTGCTTCATACTACATGCTGCATCTCATGACCAAGAAACTGTACATCCAGAATAGAAGAGTCAGGGTTTTTTTTTTAAAAAAAAAAAATCAAAACGCTTGACCCTTTCGACGCATTTACAGGAACAGCTGGGCCACAGCAATGCCAGCACCCACCAGGAGAGAACCACCAATGGCGGCGGCACTGCGAGGAGCGGCGCCTGGGACGCCGGTGGTAGGGACGGTGGTGGGAGCAGAGCTGGAGGAACCCCTCGAAGTGGTGAGCGTGGCGCTGGCGGTGGAGTTGGAGGAAACCGAGGCAGAGCGGAAGGCAGTGGTGATGGTAGAGTTGGCCGAAGGCGAAGACGTATTGGCGGAATCGGGGGCCTCGGTGGTGGAAGGCTTGCTGGAGTCGGTCTCGGCCTGGGTAGAAGAAGCCTTGGAGCCAGATGCGGAAGCAGAAGCAGAGGCAGAGGCAGAGGCAGAGGCAGACGTAGACGCAGAGGCGGAAGCGGAGGAAGAAGGCTCACTGCTGCCCTCACCCTTGACGACCTTGATGCTCTGCCAGCTGCCTGACTTGTCGCCGTAGGTGTACTCCTTGATGCCACCGTTGGCGGGGCTGTCCTTGCCGGCGTAGTCGACGATGGAGATGCTCTTGTAATAGGCGTTGAAGGGGGCCTGCTTGAAGTCGGTGTAACCACCAGCCCACGTACGAGTGCCCTCGGGAGAGTCCTTGCCACCAGCGCACCAGGTTCCGAGCTTGATCTGCATGGGAGTCTGGGGGAACTGACCGCCGGTATTGCCAGCCTCGAGCACTCGGACGCTCTGGCCGTCAATCATCCAGTTGACCTGCTTGGAAGTCCACTCGACGGTGTACGTGTGGAAGGAGCCAGTGGGATTACCAACCGGGTGGTACCTGCCACGGTCGTACGTGCTAGTGTTACCCTTGCTGAAGTAGTTAGTCTGGACCTGGGCATTGTCGGAGCCGATGAATTCCCAATCGATCTTATAAGAACCTCATGTTAGCAACTTTACATGACGCAATAATCGACGCAATTTCCAACTCGGCAATGAACCGTACCTCATCGAGATCATCTGACTGCAAGACAGCCGAGGTAACAATGCCGGCTCCGGGAGCTGCCTGCATGACTACGTCGACACGGCCGAAGAAGATATACTTCCCAGTCTCGATGGTGGGAGCGTTGGTCTCAGTCTGGATGGTAAAGACGGCGCCATTATCCTTGTACGAAAGCTTGGTACCGTCAAGTTCCGAGAACGAAGAGCAAGCTCCCTTGGTGAAGTCGCAATCGGCCTTGCCGCCAAAGGCAGGGTCAGCAGGGCACACTGATATTTCGTCAGCACAACACTTCCAACTCAACATGGGATATAGCGGAACTGTCCAGAATCGACGTACCCTTCTCTAGTGGTTGACAACGAGTCGTAGTTTGACTTGTGACAACAGTTGCGAGAGCAAGGGTTGCAATAGTCAGAGATTTGGAGAACATGTTGACTGCGGATGGTGGTTGTCGTAGGATGGTGACAATTAGTATAAATACGGCAAGAGGCTCGATTTTTTTCGTGTGGGAAAGAACACGACGAGCGGGAAATGCCAAGGACAGTGTACAAAAGCGAGTGAGCTAGTTAGCGAAAGACGAGAAGGTAGATAAGAGAGAAGAATCACACGCCGAGTGCCAGTCAAAGAGGATCAGCTTTAGTGATATAAGGGACAGGAAAAACAAAGATTCGAGCAAGCGAGCACGAGGGCAGGCTGAGTGGTGCTTTATGCCTTCTGGAGGATGAGACTGCCTAGCCATCTGGGAACAATCTAGGAACCAATAACACCAACGGCATCTGGATCCGTCCATTCAACCTGGTTCATCATCAGCCAAGCCCTTCCACATGTCGTGGATCCCTGGCGTTTTGCTTCTCTCGGCAACGCCATGGCCAATCTGGGCCTGCGCCTGACAACATGGCCCTAGCGCCACTCTCAAGATATGAGACATTGACACGCCCAGAGGGCAGCCAAGCCCATCCTGGCATGACACTTGACACTCAATTGATGGCGTTTCTGGATCCGCCCCAGCCACCCCTGCCCATTTCTGGCCCCACGTTTTACGAAAGGGCAGGGTCACAAGGGGCCGGTCAGAGCCGCAAACTGGTAGCCAGCCTTACCGTCGCGGGCTCTGGAGATAATGCCTCTCGTGTTTATTTCGGGCAACAACCCATGCCAGCACAATGCTGGGTACGACCTACGACTACAAGCCGTAAATACGGACTATGAGGCCAGGGATGAAGTCACGACTTCATCCATCCTCCAAAGCCTGATGACTATCAGAGATGGTGAACGGGGCGTCGGCACGGCATGGGACGCGGCAAAAAATACTGGACGTCTCCTCAGTCTCCAGAGAACGAGGTCGGGCCCAGTCGATCAACATCGCTTACGTAGTCCACATTGTTGGAGGGAACTTGGGGGCCAGCGATGGGCAATCAACGGATATCAAACGGTGCGGGACGTTGAATAGAGACGGTGCGGACCGGTGGCGGAGTGGGGGCCACCGGCCATTGTTGTGCGCACCTTGGACTGACTTGGCAGGAGCAGACAGTGCCAGACAGTGCCGTTTCCGGCGCAACAGGGTCGCGACTTCCCTAGCGCTGCCCCTGGTTGACGCGGCCCTTTCCCTTGAATGGCCTCCCCCTCCTTCCCGTTGGAGTTTGGAACCAAGCACGCGGGTTGCAAAAAAGGCCGCACACCTGTGTGTGTGGTTGTGGGTGCGGGGTGTGCGGCCTTTTTTGTAACCCGCGTGCCAAGGAACCAAGGACCCTCCTCGCCCGACACGGTCGACCACCGCCCGCTTCATCTTACTCTGCAACTACTCCGGTATCCCTCCCTACTCCTTTTTCCAGCCGGGAACAGTCATCTGAGGACGATGAATCGCCAGCGCCAGTTCAGCCACAAGACACAACCCTGAGCCGACATCCAAGTTCGCCTGTCCATTGGCTAATAGCTAAAGAGTCTCAGATCATCTCAACGGGTACGACCATGATGTCAATCGCTCGGTGCAGCATGTGGTGACACCGAACACAATGATACCTCACATCTGGGGTAACGTGTCGAACAGTGACCCGCAGGCTGTCAACCGCTTCAGTGCGCACATCTGCACGGATCTTGTGCACCGTTGGTACATATGTAGTAGGACTCCGTCAATCGTCACTGAGGATGGATGCTGACGAACTGGCTGGCCACATTCTGAGCAGTGAGGGAATTGTCGTCGACACGGTGCTGACGGCTGAAACAGGAGCATTAACTAGTATGACATTTCGTCAGCCAGCCCCCAATGCATTGTCCACGTCCTGGGTTTCCATCTGTTTGACAACATCGACCACATCATCTTTTGGCGACGGCACTTGAACACCTCGTCGCGGACATAGAGCTCTGGAATTCGCAATTCCAGGTAGCCCAGTCGACATATATCCGCGTCGTGAGCCAAGACGTTAATATCTGCAGGGGCACAATGGCAAGCGCAGGCCACCACGCACACACCATACGAATTAATTGCCCACAACGCCAGCCAACCACTACGCGAGCACGCGCGGCACACCGGCATCTCACCACTTCCGTAGTACATCTGGTATGCAACGCACAGTGCTCCTAGTGGGTGCTCCTCGGGCAGATTCGTATTCAGGCTCCGGAGCATCGCTGGTGGGGCTGTGCTGAGAGGATCGATCAATTTCTCCATCATGTGGTTCAGTGGATTTTTTGTCTTCTTATTACGGAGTACCTAGTCCGTAATTCGTCTCCCTTTGTTCCTCCTTTCCGGCGACTGCCGCATTGGGCCAGCAATTGTGATGTCGACCTGACATTGTTTGAACAAAGGCGCAAAACCGGCCCCTACCGAGTCTAACGAAGTCGCAGCAGCTCGAAACTTGTTATTGTCGGTGGCGGTATACTCCATTTGAGATTCACGATGGTGCCTTGATGTGCGCAGCTGGCAAACTGGCTAGTCCTGTACTGGATGGGCTCTTTGCAGCCTTTTTCTCCGTCATGGCACACACATCGACAAGTCAAAGGTTGACCATGTTGCGCTAGTTGAGCCACATTATCGTCTGCCGCTCCGCTGTTCTAAATTTACCACAACGCACTTGTGCAGGGTCCAAAACCTTTTTGCCACACACAAAGTCGTCACTGTTCGACGGAGGAGCTGCGTACTGTAACGAGCCATTATTTCGTCACACCATGCTTGGTATGTCCATGACGTCTGAACGTGTGTGGGAGAGCGAAAAGGCAGCTATCGCGGAACGTGCCATGGTGTCTTACAACCTATTCTCACTATGCGGCAAGCCACCTGCTGGTACTAGCATGTGCTTACGGCCACAAAACTGCCTAGAAGGATGTGAGGGATTTATCATTGCACACTCCCACGGCTTCTCGAGTCTGCCAGGTCCTCTAGTAGATTTCACCATCAACACGTGTGAATCACTGTCTATAGCCTACGATAATCTTGGAGTTAGCTGAAAATGAGCAACAGCCAACATAATGTCGGTTGATATACTCGTCGTTTCGTGGTGCTTTGCCATAGTAAAGGCGAGATCATTACATACGCTGCTCACGAGGAATATCTTGCCATAATTTAAAGGAGATTGATGACGGTGTCATCAACAGTGTGAATCGTCGTACGCATATAACGTGACATCCATGCAACGCGGGTTGTATATGCAGAGAGTGGTAGCAACATCAAAGAGATGGTGCAGCTACCCGTACCCGAATCACTACACGCGGCTGTGTAACGATCAGTGCTTGGACCATTGGTGTCCATTTCGACGTCATTGCAGGATGTATTCCATTGTGGGAAGCCAAACGTTGCATCGCCAACTTTCGGATGTCGCCAGGCATTTGGAATACACTGCAATTTTTTTAGATATAGGCGTAGGGCAAGAGCATCCTACCGGACAAGGCGCCTGGCTACAAGCAATGTACTATGATGTATTATAGTACATTAGAATACGCCTAGATACTCGGCTGTCACATAGTATACTATGGTATTCTATAGCATAATAGGGTGTACTTGGCTATCTCGCGCTACGATTTAAAATACTAGTATAATTTGGAGACATGGCAGGGCGAGAATTATTGCTGGAGGCTCTGATGTAGTATAAGATCTATGCATAGCTCACATTGACATCTTGACGGCTCTTGGTGATTTGCGAAATGTGCTCCAAGTCTATACTCGCATCGTGACATACGGTGCGACACAACTCATGGTCGCCAATACATACCCAAAATGAGAGCTCTTCTGTCAGCTTGGGGAGATGACGCAGCTTCTTGGATACCTTTCATCTTCCATTGCCTCATGCCTCGCGGACAACGTATCAGAGCAGCAGGTCTTGGTGCCTAGTACTACTGCATAGTATCAAACGCCGCAGGGGTCAGATACGGCTACGCAAACTTGGAACTGGCATGCCTGACATAGTCCTCGGACAGCCAGCGGAAGCCTGCTGGAGGTCTTGTACTAATAATAGAGGATTCAAGTTCCCCAATATACTCCTGCCAACCCTCTCTCCGCATCTCGACCAAGTACGCGGTCCAGTCCCCAAAAAGCTGCAAAACTTCAGACGCGCCTCGAGGGAGGACACAGCCCACCACCACTTGCACAGCTTACACAAAGACGTGCGCAATATCTATTTCGACCGGGCGACATTCCGGCCTGCTTTCATCGGAGTGGCCCGTGCCTGTCGAGGGAATTTGTTTTCAGAGGGCGGCTGGCCATACTCGTGACCACATGTCGTCACTTCCACCACTATTCATTATTCCTCAACAAACGGGGTTTTGCATTTCTCTATCCGCCACATGACCAGGCTGCCCTCCGGACTGCTGCCCTCCATCTTGCCAGACAAAGACAATGGCTACCGCGAAGCACATGAGACATCTCCCCGCCGGCGGACCCGGGAACCTGCATCTTCTGGAATGCTCGGCTGACGAGTTCCGAAATGGCCGGCCCTCTGCGTCTGGCCGACTCTAGGTCGTCGTTGGGAGCAGCCATTCTCGGGCACACCTCAGACTCGACACTCCCGAGACGCCGCGCATTCTGCCTTTGAAAAGGGCCGCTCATGAGGCTTGCTTGCCCGACGTATTTGAGCTTCCCGGTGGGAAAGTCGAGGCAGATGATTTGACGATGGAGCACGAAGCACGCTCTTGCCCGCGAGGTGAAGGAAGAGACGGGCTTGGATGTCACCGGGATCGTCGCCGAGCTGGGCCCAGTGATTTATACGACAGAGAAAACCGTGGCGGACTACGATGGAGGACAAGGTATCGTCTGCAAAACTGCTACTCGGCCCAACTACGCGCTGTCGACTTCTGCTGGCACGGTGAAGCTCAGTGCCGAAGAGCACTCGGAGAGCCGCATCGGCCACCGAGGACGAGTTGTCTGGGCTGGACATTACAAGTGAGATGAGGGTGGTCATTGAGGAAGCATTCCGATACGTCACGAGCCTGTGACCGAGACAAGGGACATGGTTTGCTGTCGCGGCTTAGGGGCCGGTTTTTAAATGTGGCCATGGACAATATTAAAGTTGTTGAAAAAAAGGGCATCGGTGACGGGACTAAGTTTGCTGACACTTTATTCAAATGGTCTTCTCGCAAAGGGGCTCAAGCTAGTACCGGTTTAAATGTCTATCCTAACCAGCACGAGCATCTAATAAATTCTTGCAACTTCTATAGAATACTGACTGGCAACTTGGTCCTCGCGACAGCATCTGGTCATAATCCAGAGTACGCAGAGGTATAGGGTAGCTACATCCCCCACGTCTCCACCACCCAACCTCCATCACTGTCGTCACCGTTGTCGTCGTCACCTTGATCCTTCACAGCAATCCAAATCCCCTTTAACGCTCCCCAATCCGCCCACCATGCAGGGCTTCAACATGGGACGCTACGTCCCGCCGGACCTCGAGGGCACAACCTCAGCCAACAAAGTCCATAAAAAGCACGCCCTCGGCCAGCGCGCATCCAAACTCGCCTCCCACGGCATCCTCACGGTGCGCTTCGAAATGCCCTTCCCCGTCTGGTGCACCTCGTGCCCCCGGCCAACCATCATCGCCCAAGGCGTGCGCTTCAACGCCGAGAAGAAAAAAGTAGGCACCTACTACACCTCTCCCATATGGAGCTTCCGCTTCCGCCACGCCGCGTGCGGCGGGACCATCGAGATGCGGACCGACCCCAAGAACACGGCCTACGTCGTCGTGGAGGGGGCCGCGAAGCGGGACACGGGCGAGGACAGGGGTCCCCGCGAGGGCGACGAGGCCCTGGCCATCATGACCGACCAGGAGCGCGAGGCCCTGCGCAAGAACGCCTTTGCGAGCCTGGAAAAGACCATCGAGGACAGGGAGAGGCTCAAGGCGGCCACCGAGAGGATCGACGGCCTGCTGGACGCCCAGGCAAAGTCCTGGGACGACCCGTACGCGCAGAACCAGAAGCTGAGGAGGGCGTTTCGCGCGGGCCGCAGGGAGAGGGAGCGAGAAGCCGAGCGGGCCGAGGCCCTGAAGGACAGGATGAGCCTGGGCATTGACCTTGTCCCTGCGACGGAGCACGACGCCCAGAGGGCTGCCTTGGTCGACTTTGGCCCGGGCGAGGATGGGCAGGCCGCGGAAAGGGCGCTGGCGAGGCCGCTATTCCAGACGGCCGGCAATGGCGACGGAACGAGCGGCTCCAAAGACAGGGCGCCGCTGCCCAGGGGCGGCAAGGACGCTGCGAGGCGTAAAAGCGACTTTGTCGCTGCCATCATGAACAATACGCGTTCGGCGAAGGATCCCTTCTTACAGGGCAAGGACGGCGTCAAGGCGGCGCGGATCCAAGGCGTCAAGAGGAAGAGGACCGACGACGAGGAAAAGAATGCGTCTGAAAAGGATACGAGGAGTGCTTCTGCATTGGTGGAGTATGATTCCGACTGATTTGTGCGTTTTTCGGGGCATGGCGTGGCGTTTACGGTTCTGTTGGTAGAGCAATATACCCCCTCTTTTTGTGCTCTGCCGTTTTCATGTTTGGCAGATGGAATCGTCTACCCGTCACTGTGCATGACATGTTGCTCTGTTGGCGTGACACGTGGTTTTCTTTTGTGAATCGGGGAGAGATTGCGCCGTTGACGTTGTGCTTAATTTGTCTGGCTTGGACGTCCCGTGTTCCTGCTGACAGTCGGTGTTGTCATTCATCGTGAGGACTAGATTGGATATCGGATAGTACTGCTACTCCATGATATGGAACCTCACCTCCATGTTTATACAAGTATGTCTTCTGGCGGATGCTTGCGGTAAGAGGGCCTGGAGGCGGTGGGCTAGGGTGACCGTTAACGTTGTAGAATACAATAGGGCGAGGAGCGGCGGGCTATAGACCAAATTTTGTTTCCAAGGAGTATGGAGTTTGGGGTTGCAACCATTGAAGAGTCTAACTTGCACACACGCTCTTCTCCGAGACCCGTATCGAGTGCTTGGGGGATTCAGAAAAATTAACGATGACAATGATGATGATGAGCATTAGCAGGGTTGTGAAAGTGCTGATTCAAGATTGAAGAATAGACAGTACACATAGAGAAGCACCCTAAAATGAACATGCGTAAATTGAAGGTATCTAGCCTCCCCATAAGAATTTGCCAGCACCCAACCATCGCCATCTCTCAACCTGTCCAGCTCGGCGGCCGATCAGCAGCCTTCTTCCCCCAGTCCGACTCCGTGTTGCCCAGCGTCAGCTCCAGCGTCCAGCCCTCGGTAAAGAGCTCATGCCCAATCCACGACCTTGTCCAAGGCTCGCCATTCACCGTCGCCTTCTGGACATACACATTCTTGTATGCAGAGTCAAAGTTGAGGGCGCGGATCGTTGCTCTCTTCCCCGTCACGGGACTCCTGATGCTGACTTCCTCCAAGAACGGGGCGTTGATGAGGTACACGTTCTGGCCGGCTACAGGGAACAGCCCCATGACGGAGAAGAACAAGAAGGAACCCATGGCTCCGGAATCGTCGTTGCCCGGAAGCCCGCCGTTGGTGTTGTTGAACGACGACGGGATGTATTGGTGAGCCCTTTTCGCAGACAGGCCGGGGCGACCGGCGTAGTGGTAGAGGAAAACTGTGAGGAAGACGGGCTCGTTGGAAATATCCGCCAAGCCGCTCTCGTGGAAAAAGTCGAGGCGCGAGATGAACGCATCGTCGCCGCTGACCAGTGAGATGAGAGAGGAGGTGGCGTGAGGAACGTAGCTGGAGACACGATATTGTTACTTTCTAGGATTTCCTCTTGTAGCATGGCCCCCCCGCAACTTACAACAGATACTGCCAGATACTGGCCTCAAACGTCTCACTTGGGTTTGACGTCAGTGAGCAGAAGCTACCAAGAGCTGAACAAGCTACTGGGTCCTGAAATCCCCACGTGCCATTCATGTATTTGGGCTGGAAGAAGCCTTTGAACCCGCTGTCTTTGCCTTTGATGACGGAGGTTTGGTCCTCCTTCCACAGGTTCTGCCAGTTCATGCTGCGGCGCATATACTTTTCCCGCATGTCATGTTTGCCTAATCCTCCCGCAAGCGTAGCCAAGCAAAAGTCGTTGTACGAATACTCAAGAGTGCGTGACACGCTTCGGGAGTTGGTCCCAAAGCCCAGAGGGTCGAAATCCAGGTACGGGATGTACCCATACTTGCGCCAGCTCTGCAGGCCGCCGCGTCCGTGGTACGACCACTCCAAGGGCTCATCCTCCGCATCGGTAACAATGGCCTCGAGGGCGAGCTCCCAGTCAAGGGCACTGCTGAGGTTCTTGGCATAGGCGTCTACGAGAACGACGTCGGCATTGGAACCCCCCTGAGTCCACCCCTTGCACATGGACATGTGGCAGTCAGGCAGCCATCCCTCGTGCTTGTACATATCCAACAAGGACTGAACCATTTGGGTTTGCGCAGTTGGGTCCAGGATTGTGAGGAGGGGGTGCTGAGCTCGGAAGCTGTCCCAAATGCTGTACAAATCGTCCAGTTAGTTTGTCAAGGAAATAGCTTGCCAAGCTCAGTGCCGGTCAACTCAAAGAGTCAGCCACTTACCAGTAGAATGAATCAAAGTAAGGCCTCCCGGTATCCCAGTAAGGATTCTCGCCGCTATAGTTCTGGGGACTAATAAAACTCCGATAGGCACCGCTCCAGAAGCTCGTCAACAGATTCTTGTCCGCCCCGCCGGCCTTGACAGATATCGGGCTTAACTTCTCTCGCCATGCATCCTTGGCAGTCTTTACGAGAAGGTCAAAATCTTTGAGAGGATTCGGAATCTCCCTTTCTGCATTGCCGCACGCCTGCTCCGAGCTTTTGAAGCTGAGACCAACTCTTGCTGTAACTGTGTTGTCGGGCCCGGGGCTGAATCTAGCAAAGCCACCGCCCTCCAGGTAGAAGAGGTTGAAACCACGGGTGACGTAAATTTGTTTTGGCTCTGTTCCCGCCCTGTTGTTGACCCATACGCCCGTGTCGTGCATCTCTGCCCCGGCGAAATCCACGCAGAAGTGAAGCTGGTACGAGCCGGCACCAAAGCTCGGCAAGAAGGTGCCGTTTCCAACCATTCGACCAGATTTCTCGTCCACGAGGATACTAGCATTCTGCCGGCTCTGCCACAGGTCCGTGAGGTCGAGCAGGATTAACGGGTGGTTCCCCTCTGACCTTGGAAACGTGAATTTCATCAGACTGGCATGTTCGCTGACAGTCATGTTCACTTGGACACCAGACGCAAGCTCGATGGCAAACAGTCCTGGTTCGGCAACAACCGAGCTCGCCCTGTAGTGAACTTTGCGATCTCCAATGCGAAACTGGCAATTGTTTAGCTCATCAGAAGGGCAGACCTGTGGAAACAGTGGGAAATTGCCAAGACTTGGATTCCCTCCCGTCCCCTAAGGGGAAAACAAAGTCGAGTTAGTCCTTTGCCAAAAGCCTTGAGGGGAAAGGCGAGGAGCAAATGGGCGGAGATGTGCTTTACTGAATCGTGAATAGAAGAAATGCCCGTAACATTGGACATGTCCATGGCAAACCCGCCGGTATTCTGGCCGTCTACATCGGCGACGACCTTGGCCAACCCGTACGGCAGAGTTGCTCCGGCAAATACGTTGCCCCCGTTTGTTGTACCGATCAGTGGGTTGACGTAAGTTAGAGGGTCAAATTGTGTCGCTAGGGACGCGAGAAGCCAGGGCAGCAGTAGAAACTGCAGCAGATTGAGGCTGGGATTTCGCATGACGATGCTCAGTGCCCGTGCAATGACGGCGTGCTCCAAGTACCTGTGACGAGCTGCGGTATGGAGACGATGGCAAGGCGACGATGCTCCGTTGGTCGTTTGCTAGGAAGCCAAAAAGAGGAGTGTCGAAGTATTGGAACGCGTCCAGCGTGGTGTGACTCTGATTGATCGGCGAGCTGTGGCCATTGCAGAAATCGTGCCCAATCCGCAACTTACATGGTCCAACAACGCGGGGGAGCAATGTCCGGGGTAACATCAAATGAAGCGTATCATCATAGATGTCGGCGCTTTAGCCCACAAGTCGACCTCTGTCACCAACATTGGCTTAGCTGCGCACCGTCACCCACGCGCATAACCGGGCGGTATGCTTTGGGTTTTCCCCTCACGAACCGTCCATTGTAGTAACCCTTTGTGCAGAGCTTCGGGCCAGCGAGCCCAGTAGCGACCTTGTTTCCCGATCAGTCTTGGCAGAAGTTCGTCATTGTGAGACCTTGATCAAGCGATAACCGTGTCGTTGCTGACTTGCAGGGTATTGCCGGGCCTGATGGCCAGAACCGAGTCGTGATGGATCAATTGATTCCCCCGCTGACCCCCACCCCAATCTCTGGCGGACCGTCTGTGTTCGGGCCCGCGGGGCGACCAGGGTGCCATGTACACCCAATGTCAGATGCTGCCATTGATATTAGCCAATGGCATTTCAACATCACATTACTCCGTAGACACACTCTGCTCTCTCATCTTGCACAAGCCGACAGGACAACGGAACGCGAGGGTCCACAGTTGCAAGTTCAATGAAATGTATTTTCATCAATCATGGGTACTGGTACTATTATCGCCTTCTCATTTTAGATGGGCCCAATGCTAATTCAATCCGCCCGCGCGCGTTGCTGTGTATCAATATTCCTGTAAGCAGCCGACGACAATCCACTCTATTAACCTTTGTGATAAGTCAGAACCAAATCCACTCCACTCATTCAAGTAATGTCAGAAAGTGAATAAAAGAAAACGGGGTTGTGTGTTTCATCCAATGGCGGCAGTAAGGTGCCCGCTCCCTTGCTCTTTCGCTCTCTCTCGGCAGCATTGTGCTGAGGTCATTTGCTGAATTCTCCATTTTCCTGCAATGTCCCAATCAGTGGCTCGAGCAGTCTGGGAAGCGCCTCTGCCGCATCTTGTCCGAAAGCGAAATCTCCCGGCTGTATCTTGTACAGCTCAGACTCCTCCTCGGCATCGATGTTGATGGTACAGATTCGAGCCCCTTGCAACTGTGCTTCCGAGATATATCCGGCCGCGGGATACACTTGTGCGGATGTGCCTATAACGAGCATCAAGTCCTAACATAACGTGTAAGCCACCTTCTATTAACAGCGGTTTTGCTTTGCAGCTAGCCCCTGGCCCACTGCTCACTGTGCCAGCCAAAGCAGGGTAGTGCTGACGCGTACAATCTTATCCTTTGTGATCCATTCATCGATATGGTCAAGCATATTCTCATCAAGCTCCTCGCCAAACCAGACCACACCAGGTCGTTGAATGCCCGTTTGGCACTTGGGACATTTGGGCAGCTCCTCTTCGGGAACGTGCTTGATTCGGTGGTACGGGTCCAAGAGAGGGAGTGACTCCCCAGGGGGAGGATCCTCCGAGGCAGCCTTTAAAGATGGGCAGAATGGGTCGTCAAAGTTGTCCCGCTGAATCCAACCGCAGCCTTCTGTCGTGCATTTTATATCGAACAAGGAGCCGTGCAGCGTGCACAGTTGCTCAGGTGGATGGTTTGCTCGTTGAGACAGGTCTACAGATAGCGACCAAGGCGCAAATGGCCTTGCATTAGTCCAACCACGAAACATCTTGGAGGTACTCAACTGACCCCAAAGAGCGGGTGCCCACTCCCTTTCCAAGTATGGGCGGTTGAAGAACTCACTGTCAACATTTTGTGTTAAACACAAGAAATCCGGATTCTTCTTGGCCAAGGCCGCCAGAGCTTGATGGCCAGGGTTTGGCTTGGCTTGCAAGGCCAGGTGTCGTCGATAACCATAGAATAACCACACAAGACCCGGATCCGTCGTAAAGGCCCTCATCGTAGCTAGCTTTGTAGCCGAGTGCATCCTCCAGAGACCTCCGGCTCCACGGAAAGTTGGGAGACCAGACGAGGCACTCAAGCCAGCGCCGCAGAGGGCCAGGATGCGACGGCTGGAACGAAGGACCTCATGGAAGGTCTCTACGTCGTTGTGGGGAGGCATCGAATCCGGTCCGACAGATGAATAAATATATATGTGTATGTAATATAAAATAAAAAATGAGAAGAGAAGAAAAAGAAAAGAGATGAATCTACGTATGAATATTCCTGTCTTGGCAACTAGTTGACCGAGCGGGTGTGGTACGTGGTGAGTGGCCACTGCCGGTACCCGC